TTTATTGACTGGGTGTTAGAGCTTATAAACAGGGCTTCAGGTAGGGAGGGGGAGCAGGAGGAGTGAGGAGAGGACAAAGAAAATTCCTAAGGGAGGGTCAGCAGGAGGTCGCTTTGGTCCCAGGCCCCTGCAGCTAGCTGATTTAGTACAAGCTCCAAGAAGTTTATTTAATTGTACATTCCTAGGTTAGACTAAAAGCCTCCTATTTACACGAGGCTTGATAAATCGTGGAAGGTAACACAGGTTCAAGACACAGCTGTCCGGAGTCGGTCCCCAACAGAGTATGAAGTTTAAGAAAGTTTAAGACTCACCTTTTAGTCCAGTTGGGTGCTCTGGATGGGAGACTTTTAATGACTGCTTCTGTTTTCTTAGGGTCTACTTATGTTGTTTATCTTGTCTTGATTAGAATTGTCAATTTCTTTTAGATCTTCTCTGTTTGTGAAGTGCAGGTGTTTGAAATATATACCTAATGATTCTTTGGATTTCCTCATTGTTATATCTCCCTTTTTATTTCTCATTTTGTTAATTTGGATATTCTCTCTGCCTTTTGGTTAGTTGCATAAGGGTTTGTCTATCTTTTTGATTTTCTCAAAGAACCAGCTTTTTGTTTCATTGATTCTTTGTATTATTCTCTCTGTTTCTATTTTATTGATTTCAGCCCTAAATTTGGTTATTTCCTGGCATCTATTCCTCCTGGGTGAGTTTGATTCTTTTGTTTTAGAGCTTTTAGGTGTTCTGTTAAGTCGATAGTGTGAGATTTCTCCAACTTCTTTAAGTAGGCATTTAGTGTTACGAATTTTCCTCTTAGTACTGCTTTCATAGTGTCCCATAAGTTTGGGTTGTAATTCATTTTCATTGAATTCTAGAAGTCTTTAATTTCTTTATTTCTTTCTAGACCCAGTGGTGATTCAGTTGAGCACTGTTAATTTTCATGAGTTTGTAGGCTTTCTGTATTTTTTGTTGTTGTTGAATTCTGACTTAAGCCATGGTGATCTGATAAGATACAAGGAGTTATTCCAATTTTTTGTAACTATTGAGATTTGCTCTGTTACTGAGCATGTGGTCAGTTTTCAAGAAGGTTCCTTGAGGTGCTGAGAAGAAGGTATATTCTGTTATTTCTGATGACTATGCAATATCATGTTTTCTCAGATGGTTGTGAGTTTCTTTATGGGTGTATGGTTGTTCATGCACAGTGATCATGGGGAGGTTACAGAATTACCTTGGTGTGTGGTCCTCCCTTGCTTTTCCCTTTGTCTTTCAAAGAGTGACCCTCATTTCCTTGGAAGTTTTCTATTAGGCAGCTTGTCTGGTCCATAATTTTCAAGAACTTACCTGTGTGCCAACTTATTGCCATTACTCAAATGCCCCCCAGTAGCCTGGCTTTTTAAGTGGGTTCTGGTATCCAAACCCAGTTTCTAACTCCTGCAAGGCAAGCATTTCAACAATCCAGTATTTCTTTCAGCTCTACTTTTCACAGTTTTGTTATTAGTGAAATCTTTGAGCTTGGTTGTGACTGTCTACTAGAGAACATGTCCTAATGATCATGGCCTTGGCTCACCTCTGAAGAACCATGGCTAATGAAAAGCAGAGAAAGAGAGAGAGAGAGAGAGAGATAGAGAGAGAGAGAGAGAGAGAGAGAGAGAGAGAGAAAGAGAGAGAGAGAGAAGGTTTTCCCATCTTAGTGATTGTACATGGACTCTCAATGCACTTATAATCAACTTATAATCATAAGAGAATGCCAGGACTAGCACTTGGAACCTGCGAGTAGTATTTCCTCCAGGACACATTTAGAGTTGCATTGCTCTGGAGTCAGAATTCAACACAGAGAAAATCAGGTGTTGCCAAAACAACATGTGTCCTCTAGAGCCTTGAGCAATAAATTAGGAAGGAGGTGATTGCAGTGTACAATCACATGGGACTGATTAGCTTGGGTCATGACATGTGTGTTTGTGGGGTGCTCATTGGACATGACTCAATGAAGGATGGATGCCACTCATTGCTCTTCATTCTTTTTCTTTATAGAGACAGAAGATGAGGATGGCAAGCCAATAGGCAAACCTAACCTATCAGGACTCACATTCTTCCTCTATATGGACTGTCCACTGCTGAAAGGTAGAGCTACATCTCCTTTGAGTGCTGATCTCAGTCCTTCCCTTCCTGGCTTTACTCATCTTGAAGACTTGTGTCTGGCATGTCTTGAGCAGGTGTGGGATAGTAGTTGACAGAGGTGGAAAAAGGTATTTGGACATCCATTGTTGAATCTCCTTTGGCATCATCACCATCACTGGTTGCAGGGCAGAGGCTTGACACTCAGAGTAGGACACAGAGCCACAGGCCTGCAGGCACTGCCCAAGTTCTACAGCCATCAGAGGGCCCAGGCTGTTGATGTCATAATAGACCTGGCTACCCTCCTGGTGGGAAGGTGCCAGGATGTGTCTTTGATTTGGCATCTGTGGTGGTGTGGCCTGAACAAGGTTGGCAGAAAGTGTTGGACAGGCAAGGACTAAGGCATTGGTATCTAAAATATTAGCACGCTGGGCTGTCACAGACAAAGAAGATGTAGTACTTTGGTCAGTGATAGTTACGGTGAAGCCCCAGAATGCAGCTCCCCTCTGGTCAGTGCTTCCAGGGACCCCAATGGAGAACACCTGGATAGGAGAGTGCTGAGGCAGAGATCTGGCCCTAGTCAGTCAGTGCAGTCATCATGGTCCTGCCAGCTGGTAGGTAGGGGTAAGCACTGTCCATGAGCTTCTGGCAACAAGTGCTGGAGTCTGATGGCAGGAGCCATGCTGTACTCACAGCTGGGGTGGAGACCCTGGAGAAGTTGCACACACTTCCTGATAAGGGCGTGGCATTCCTCAGCTCAGGCACAGAGGGCTGCAGAGCACATTGTGTTCCAAAGAAAGGTGCACTTTGGAAATTTTCTGTAGGAAGCAAGAGGACAGTAAGAAAAATGGTGAGAAGGAATCCTTCTAGTTTCCTGTGGGGAGCTGTGTTATCATCAATTTGTACTGTCTGGGAGAGTCTAAGACCTATGTTCCCTTACATATACCAAACAAAATGGTTAAGAATGATTCTTGGTAATGGATAGGATGATACTCATTTGATGAACTGCTCGTTCTTCCTGTGTGGGGACTTCCTAGTTGATCCATGTTGACTCTTGCTCTGACCTAGACAACACCCTTCTTTGCCCTGCTTTGTCTTGTTCTGATTCCTGCTGTGGCACTGCCTCGCACCTGTGTCCCAGAACAGAAGTGTTTAAAGTAGGAGAACCTTAGACAGCTTCTCATGCCTGTGCCTTTGTCTTGTTCTGTGCAGATATTCCTCTATGTAGAGAGATATGATCTCTCTACCTAGATCAGTCTGGCCCTGTCTATCACACAGATCGTCCTGCCTCTGTGTCTAGAGTGCAGATGTCATAGTTACTTGCCATGCCCACCATGTTTGTCTTTATTGTGAACTTTCTTAATGTAATGATGTATCAGGAAGTTTAAGATAAGTAGTGTATTTTGCTAAGAATCCCTTCCTCCTCTATTTCTTCCTGTTCCTGTCCCATGCTTTGTATAATTAATGACCTATTGTAACTTATATAGCTATTAAACCCATATGCATACATGACTTCTTGAATAAAACCAACTGGTAAAATTTCTTGTTGTTTACACCTGTGTACTGTGACTTCTTAATATTGCTAATGGATTGTGGAGTTCATTCTGAATAAGATTATTTCTCAATTTAACTGTTGGTTAAATTGTTTCTTTACCAGTTCCTCATCTAGTGAGGAGTCCTTGTGAGAATTACCCCCACACAATGGTGTGTCAGTTGTTGTTGTGCAGCCCACAACTGACTGTGGGAGTGCCCAGCCTCAGTTGTCAATATCTGACACCACTATGACACTGGGAATGCTGCATAATTGGGCTGGATGGCATGTAAGTGCCAGAAAACAGAGTGGGATATTGTTTTCTATATGTGACATGGAACCTTTTCTCAGACTGATCTTAACAGTGTGGCTGCTTATACATGGCTTGGGAAATACACATTACACACACACACACACACACACACACACACACCATATACAATGTGTTGTGTTATTTTGATTTAAAATCTGTGGTTGTCTGCAACATTCTGTTCCAAACTACCATTGTGTGCCTTCAGGGTCACCTCTGGAGTGTGCCTTATATTTCTATATTTTTTAACCCCTCATACTTTGTTTTCTTCCTCCTCCATTTCCTGTAGGTCTGTCTTTCAATTAACTGTCTCAATATTTCTTCCACTACAATAACTGCCTTCTCAGAACCCACAGTCTTCTAAGTATTTCCTAGTTTCCTTTTTTAATTTGTGAAGTCCAATTAACTCCAAAAAATGGCAGCAATTCTCTTTGTCTATGTTTAATAATTATTTGGTGAATGTGGAGAAAGGCCAGCGTAGACCGTGTAAGACTTGAACTGAACTTCAACCCTTCAATCTCTACAACCTGTGATTACAGGTGTGTTGCACAGTTCCTGGTGTGAATGTTACTTTTAGAGCAACCTTAAACTTGAAACAATAAGGGGAAACAGTAATAGAGGGAGTCTGTCCCATTCTTGGTAAGGAGTGCTAGATCTCTGCACATCCTGTTCATGTTCCTGTGTCTCTTGAGTTTAGCATAATCAAGAAGGGCCTGATCATATTCTCTGTTTGCTTGCCTCTTAAGACTTGACAGTACAGAGCCCAGAGCATAGTGCCATGCTCGTCTCCCTGAGGTTGATGGAAAACACTTGAGAGTAAACTGTCTGTCCAAGCTCACATACATAGTCAAAACCAAACATAAATGTGACATAACATTGAGATATCTCTATCAGCATTAATAGTATCCCTGTTAAACAAAGATTTAAAAGTTTAGTCAAAATAAGGGAGAAGTGATCAAAAGAAACATTTTAATGATTCTTTCCTTACCTGCCATGGGCTGAGGGAGAGTATCAGCAAATCACAGTACAATGGAGCAAGAGAATTGGTTGTCCTTGTCTGATCAGCTGACCTGAAGTGGCAAGTGTATCTGGTATCAGACAGCAGTTACTGGTCACTGGTCACAGGTGACCTGTGATGATCCAAATTTGTTTACAGGCATCACCATGGAAACCCCAAGATCATACCAGGTGGTGGTAGGGTTGGAAAAAGAATGATGTCATAAATCAGGCATCAGCCAATGGGAAAGTTGGATTCTGAGCTAAAAGATGGGATTGGTTGGAGAGGATGCCAGGAGACCAACAGTAGCCATGGAGGCTGAGGTGTGGGCTAGTGAAAGGAGGCAATCCTGGCATGGAAGTCCCCCTTCCCATGAGGTTTAGTCCATATAAGGTTCCCTGATGAAGCTGTGTCTACTGTTGTTATGAGGTGTCACCTTCCAGCAGAAACTGTCCCATCATCATATACTGTCCATACAGTCTGTACCCTTGGGCAGGAAGGAGAGGAACACTTAGGTAGATGGATCTCAGGTGAGAAACGATTTCAGTTGATCTGATTTATGGGCTATGAGCATCTGTCCATGACCCAAGGAAGAGATCAAAGGGCTCCTTTGTGACTGTATTGAAGGACAGGGCTGAGTGCATTGAGAGCACCTTGGATGATGAACTCCAAGACTATTTTCTTTGGGTTCCTTCTCCTAGAGGCTTTCCTTAGTCTGTGTTGGTCCAGACATGACTCACATCTCTCTTCTCTGATTTTCATCCCTTTTTGGTAGGGTTTGATTATTGGACCAGCGTGACCCCGTGTCCTTACAGTGGTGGGCAGTATCATGGTGAACTTCCAGAAGCAGTGGTCTTCTGTTCATCATAAAGATGCTTATAATTGGATGCTTCTGGTAGAAGCAAGCACTTGAGAGGCTTATGGTGAGCTTGGCTGCATATGGTACCTCTTTCAAACTTGGTGCTATTTGCTGCCCAAACTCATCAAGCTCTGGATGTTTTCTCTCCTTTTGGTCTTTTGTTTTCCTGAGACAGGCAAGTCTCTGTAGCTCCTGTTGTTCGGGAGCTCACTGTGTATCTCACTCTGGCCTCAGACATGTGGGCATTCTTTTTATCTTGCCTCCCTTCTTATAGTATTGAGGTTGTTAGCCATTGAGCCTGGCTGCTTTCTCTTTTCATCCACAAGTATAAAGAATATGACACTTACTGAAGCTTCTTCCTCCTTGCAACAGTCTCTGAAGAATCCTGGGCTTCTAGCATTCTCTGCCAAGCTTGAGTCTGAGATCAGGATGAATAGAAAGTAGAATACCTGGAGAAAAAAGGCATTTGTTGGTACTGGGTGCTGGGTAACATGAATGAAGCAAAGTAGGTATTTAGCTTTATATGTATAAAAAAGAACAACCCATTTTCCATCTCATTGTAACTTCTCAGACAGGAATGTGATCTTTTGTTGAAATATGAGGAAATCTTGTGTGTTTCCTCATTTTTGTTTAGACTGTTATCATTCTTTTCTGTTATTCACTGGTAGGTTCTTAGACTGTAATATGATATGTGTGTAGTATGCATTTATATACATTTCTTATTCTAACTGCCTCAAAAATCACTAATATGACAATGTCTGTCAGTCATTATTGAAAATGAACTTGGAGCCTGTTTAACTCTTCTGCTGCATGACATGTCAGAACTTTCACTTAGGACCTCTTTTATACTGAGCTAGTGCTGTAGCTTGCAGCTACATGCCCAGCTCAGTAGAACAGTTCCTTTATGCAGATTATTTCATGTTTTGTAGTACTTGGGAAAATTCTGCAATAAGACTGTCCTTTTTCATAGGCCAGTAGGCTGCCTCTCTCTTTCACCCTTGCAGTTTCTTTCATGACTGACCACTTGTCAGATAATATGACACATTCCAAGTGGCAATGACTGAAAGTCAGAAAGTTCATCCAGGCTCCTAGTTGTAGACCTTTCAGAAAAAAAGTGTCCTCAAGTGAGTAGAATATCACTGGGTCTATGTAATTAAGAAGTCTGAGAGGGGAGAGAAAATGAGTGATTGATAGATAGATAGATAGATAGATAGATAAAGAAAGAAAGAACTGTGTTGTTTTTAATTCCCATTATTTCTTTCTTTTTATCTTTAAACATTTGCACATTATTTTTCTTTT